CGCCGCTTTAGCTCGCTCAATTTTTCACGGGCGAAAAATGAGGCGGCGAACGACGACGTCCAACTCGTTTGCGCTTGGAGTGCGCCAAAGCCGCGCGCGGGCCGCGAGCCAGGCAGCGCTGAGCCGCGCTGGAGGCACAAGTGAAGGGTTAAAGACTGGTCGGGGTGATACTAAATGCGGCGCGGTGAAATGTGGCCGGGCATCGCGGCTACCGTGGGTGGAAGAAAGCGCAGTTAAAAGCTTGTCGGGCCGGCGCAATGGGTGCACATAAAGGGAGAGGAGGGGCGGGGGGAGTCGCGCTGGACACACTTCGCCCAGTTTTAATGGCCGTTTGGGAAGCAGGACCGGTGCAGGACAGGATACGTCTCCATCCTGCCCGGACCCTCGACCGGAGTCGTTTGTGACTTCATGTTGGACCTCTACCTCGTCCTCTCTCACTCAGTTGCCCTCCGCCGCGCGGGTCACACACGGCCAGCCGCACGAGGGGGACAAGGACAGACCAGAAGGCGCCAGCCGGGGCACGCCGCGGGCGAGGGACTTAGGGACCGAAATGGGACAGGCCATAGTAGGATGTCGAACCCGGCAGCGACAGGGGGCAGGGCCGGCAGGGCAAGGGACCCGAAGGGATAGGAATCTCTATCTCATCGGACGAGTTGGGTATCCGCTCTACGCTACGCTCTGTCTGTCTGTCTGTCTGTCTGTCTGTCTGTCTGTCTGTCTGTCTGTCTGTCTGTCTGTCTGTCTGTCTGTCTGTCTCACACACACACACGGACAGCGCCACACCGTGCGACGGGCTAGACGGCGTTGCATCGCGGCACGTCGCGGGAATGACGGTGGATGGCGCCAAACGAACACACATGGTCTTAACTCCCTCCACACACTCACACACACACACACACACACACACACTCACGTACCGACCGGCGCCGCGGGAACAGTCGCGGCCCAAAGGCCCTCGGAGCAATTCCTCATATTAGAGGAAGTAACAACTCACGCCCGCTTGCCCATTCTTCCTCGGTAATTGATAGAAACAACAGCGCGCCGGCGGCGGGCGAAGGCGCGGAGGACTCCATTCGTCTATCGGCTGATAGAGCGGGAGGAGTGAGGCGAGATAGAAGGGAGGGTCAGAGGTCAGAGTCATAAGCAGGGCCAAACCAGGTGCGAGCCGTAGCCCAGCTAAAGGTAGACACTGCAAAAGAGAATGAGTGGGAGCGAGGGCGAAGAGAGAGGGAGAGAGAGGGCGTGTCGCCATAACAACAATGAAATGTACGGTGCTCCTGAGGAGAGCGCCCCTCCCCCGACTGCACCGTCGTCCGGGTCTGATCTCTTCTCTGCAGCCGTGTGAGGCCAGGGGGCCAGGGGCGTCCGGGGTACAGAGGGGCGGGCGAGGACGAGAGCACCATGGGGGCACCGGGTGGGCACTGCGGGCAGGGCAAAGGCGGAGCACGGCGCGGCGGGGCAAGGGCCTCCGAGGGGCGAGCGAAAGGCGTCCCGGTGTCCCCGCGCCCGCGGCCCCCATGCCGGCCGAATACGTAATGCGCGGGGTGTGGCGGGGCGGGGTGGGGGTGAGGTG